GATGCTTAATTAAGTTTATAATGAAATGTTTTAAGGTATGTTATATTAATTATTTCTTATCATTTAATTAAGTATTATGCTAATGTTAGTAGTAAATTAGTAATTACTAATGCTTAAAACATAATATCATAACTCATAATCAATAATAATCATTTAATTATGTATGTTATATTAATTATATGATCATACTATAATAGTATAATGTATGTTATGAATATTAAGTAATCGTACTATAATTAACATAATTTAATATTATAAATTAAATTTCAATCTTAATTAATATCTATGTTTATAATAGAAGTTATAATTGATTAAGTAATCATATATAAATATAAGGTAATATTATAATAATTAAATTTTTAATCGTTTAATTAAGTAATGTATAATATAGTAAATTAATAATGTTTATAATATAATGTTATAATTCATAACTAATTATGTAATTATTTAACTATGTAATGCTATAATTAAGTAAGTGATCATAATAGAATGATATAATATTATATTTAATTGAGTAATTATTTACTATATGTATACTTAATTAATGTTTATAAGATAATGTTATAATTAATTAAATTTCTATCATTTAATTAGTTTATGCTAATGTTTATATAGTAAATTAGTAATTCTAATATTTATAATATATGACATAATCCATTAATTAATTATTTAATTATGTAATGTTATAATTAATTATATATCATACTATAATGTATATAGTGAATACTATTAAGTAATTATAACTAAAACTTTTAATGTAATATTATAATTAATTAAATTTTTAATCATTTAATTAAGTTTGTACTAATGTTTATAATAAAATGTTATATTGACTAAGTAATATACTATAATATTAATGTAATGCTATTAATTATTTCTAATTATAACTCAATTAATTAACTATTTATTATGTTAAACTTATAAGTCAATTAATTAAGTAGTAATCAATTAATGTAATGCTATAATTATTATAATAATAATTAAGTAATGTTATAAAATTATAATTAATTAAGTAATCATTAATTATATGTAATGTTATATTATGATTAAGTATGATATTAACTAGTAATTAAATATTAATATTTATCAATTTATCATATATAATTATTAATTACTAATTTATTATAGATATACTTAGAACTTGATAATTGAAGTAATAACTAACATAATTATTACTCAATCAAATATACTATTTTATCAAAATAATTCTTTTAATAACATTAAAAATGTAAAACCTTTTAATTGGATATAATTCCACTTATTCACTTATTAATCAAAACTTTAATATATTATTATAATATATTAAAGCTTTTAATATGGTGTAATTTATATGTAATAAGTATAATTGTATTCGTATATTTTAATTAGGTTATTCTAAAATTTAACTTTTCTATTTTAAATTTTTTTATATGTAAAATAATAGAAACTCCCCCATTATTTACATTTCACAAATATTTCATTATAGTCCAGGTTCCAAAATAGGTTCTAAACAGATTCCAAAACAGGTTCCAACTAGGTTCCAAAACAGGTTCCAACAAGTTCCAAACCAGGTACCCCCTATAGTTTCCAAACAGGGTACTCTTTTTACAGGTTTCGGTTCCGGTTCCTCCACTGCAAGAATTGGAACCGGAACGCATAGTAGCGATTTCAAAAAATTGGAACGGAACCTACCCACACAGTGTCGGTTTCGGGTAGGTTCCGATTCCGTTCTAGCCCCCATTCCGATTCAACTCGCGACCTGTGCTCACCCTATATCAAGCCAAAGAGTAGAATGTTTGGAGGTAGAGGTTGGCTCTTAAGGGCTAATCACGAGGCAATGTTGCAGCAAATTCAAGATATCTTTATCGTGATGAATACACGTTTTTTATGAACTTTAGTCTCTTACCCACACAAAAAAATTAAATCTGAGATTGAAAGAAAATAGGGAAAGAGGATTAAGCTTTAACTGAATAAAAGATTGTGTTACCGATCATCGAAATGCTGCTTAATGAAAATGGATAACCTTGAGAATGAGGACAAGGGTTTTTTTAGGGGGAAGGAATGTTACCTCACTAATAATTATCCTTTGAATAGAGATGGATAGGGATAATTTATCTCAAGCTATTATTTTATTTTTATATTTTTGTCCTCAATGATGAATTGTTATAAATACAAGTATTTTTGGAATAATAAAGTTGTCAATTAATACCAATTACAAGTAACGTTGTTACAACTTACAAGGCTGTGATTCCCTCTAAGCAATCCCTAATTCCTTAATTGATTTTTTTTTTTATTCTATTCAAAATAGGCAAAAGTAGAAGACCTTCCCCTCTTTACTAGATTAGTTACTGGGCACGTAACCACCCTTCTCTTAAAGGGGAGATCAACTATCAACTAAATTGACAGATTTTGAAGAAAACAACCAATATCAATATTTCCAATATTTTGGAAACTGGACGCCAGTCGAATTGGTGACTGATGCCTTTCCGTTGATTTACTATTTTCAACTATTCACAAAATCCTTAATTGACCATTAAACAATGAGGGCTATCAAGTGTCGAGTTAGAGGGGTTTGTAGAGTAGACTCATTGAGGCTTGTGGTTCAAGGGGTGGTGTTGGATTGAATTTTGGATGCCGAAATTTGGCCAAAAAATCAACCTAATACACAAGTCACGGGCACGTACGCACGAAGATTACCAAGTGTTTGGGTTAAAGGGTTTTTTAAGAGTGGAGGCCGTGGTTTAGATGGTGGTGTTGAATGGGATTTGGCTGTCAAAATCAGTCGGAATGTGGCAAGAAAAATCAAAACCTAAACTGTCATAGGAGTGTGTTTGCAAGATTTCAAACCTCTACGGACTGATTTTTTTAGGGGTATTTTTGCAAGATTTTAAACTTTTTGATCACAGGCAGGCCACCGGTTTATCGATTGGATTGGTCAACACGGGACCTGGCGCCTTGGCCGGTGGCAGCCCAAGTCAGGTTTTAGAACATTGATATTTTCTACAATACAGTCTATTGCTCTTTGAAGTATGACTAGTTCGCGAAATTAATTTTTCTTTATAATTTCAATTTTATTTCTCTTTATTCATTGTTCTACACTCTAACAACACATGTAGTAAAAGAATATAAAATAAAATTATAACGGAAAGTAAATAGTTTAAAATGTTGTAATTTCATGAATGTAGTCTATTATAGAATGAGGTAAATGAGAAAAGTAAAGTTGAAGGGGTCTAAAAGTAATTCTTTAAATTTAAAGAGATTGAAATTAATAAAAAGGAGTATTGGACTATAATGTAATTTTGGTTTTTGTAACCACGCTGGAGTTTTAAAAGATTTCACCCCCTATTTGTTTAATTTTTCAAACTGTATTATATTTTATATCCTATCTTAAAATGAAAAACATGTTTGTTTATATTATTATTCAATTCAAATCTAATCTTATTCTACCACTCAAAACATTTAACATTACCTTTCACAATAAAAGCTTATAATTAACAAAAATACCCCCACAACCCAGCCATAACGCTTGCCAGCAAGCAACCATTGTTGGCGCCAATTCTGGCAGTAGAATTGGTTGTTTCCTGCTAAATACATTGTTCTATGGTCGAAAAATGCCAGATTGGTACCCGATCAACTAGATCTAGCCGGTTGTGCGCAATTCTGACAACTGCTGCCACTGTCCAACATGGTGGCCGGCTGCCAGTAGTCGGTTAGGTGGGTGAATGTGTTTTTGTATTTTATAAACTTTATTATATGGGGGTTTTAGCTAAATTAACAAATTGGAGGTTAAATAATCTAAATATTTTCAGAAAATGTTTTCCAAAAATATACCAAACACATTCTCGGAATTCTATCTTATCTATTTAGAATATTTATTTTAAATAATGTACCAAACAACCCCGAGTCTATATACTCAACCAAGCTTATGTTTTCTTAAAATTGTTCAAAAACCACCCTTACAGCTAACTCTGCAATATTTTTTGTTAGTGATATGCTTGTAATTCCTAATTTACCCTTGTTAAACTCATGTGTTAAATAAGTTAGAATTAAGTGGATGCTTATGAGATCTAATTACCGTACTACCCTTCACAATTAAAAATACATTAATACCCATGAAAAATAATAAAATGACATTTATATCCTTAATCAATTTGAAGTGATGTTGTTTCCATGAAAATGACCATTGTTTTTTTTTTTTTTTCTATATTTGTTTTAAGTTTTTTTGGTTATATAAAGGCCAACATATCTCTTTTCTGGTCATATTTTTTTTGCTCTAATTTTATTTTTTGTTTACCACAGTTTGACCAATGAATGAATTTATGGGTTAAGTTTGATTAATGTATGGCTTATTACTTCAAAAGTTTTTACTTGACGTTCTAGATTTAGGGTTTTCAACTGTCGTTTTCTATAAAAAAGAGCATACGAAAAGACAAAGATAACCCTCGCCACTAATGGAAAATGTAATGTAGTTAGTTGTAATTTGTAAGGGTGATTTTTGAAAATTTTAAAAAGTATAAGGGTAGTTTGAAAATAGACTCAAATCCTTAATATGATATGATACTTTTTCAAAACTCAGAAGTGGTTGTGGCAAAAAGCCCATTTATTTTATTTTATTTTTGTTGTGATTGGGTGTTTGGATTAGCTTGCATACTAATTTTAAGGATCCTAAAATTAACGATTAGATAAACTTTTAATAATTACCTTTATTAATAATCAAAATCAAGGTAAATCAAATTCGAGACCGCTCAAATAATAACTCAATATTCAACCACTTGACCGAGGGCAGTCGCCCATTTAATTTCCTTTTATACAGTTTCATTTGGGTAGAATTATAAATGGATGGTGAATCGACTTTTGACTTCTGAGACAACTCGGTCCTTTCAATGTTACTGGTTTTCATAACAATAATAAAATTAAAATATATAGTTGAGTGATGGGGCTCATGATCAATTAATTATATCGTACGTTAATAAATGCATTTATATGATTCCCAGCAACGGTGGTTATGTCTGGTGGCCAAACCCAATCGATATCAACTCTTGTTGCTTCACACATTTTATAACACAACCTCCTTTTCTTCTTTTCACTTTTCATTATCTAAAGATCTACACCAAAATGGTTGGAGAATCAAGAAAATGGATGATCCTAATAGCAACAATATGGATACAAGCATTTACAGGCACAAATTTCGATTTCTCATCTTATTCTTCAACACTCAAATCGGTTCTTGGGATTTCTCAGCTTCAGCTCAACTATTTGTCAGTCGCTTCAGATTTGGGAAAGGCTTTTGGTTGGTGCTCTGGTGTCTTACTCCTCTATTTTCCTTTGTGGGTTCTTATGTTCATGGCTACTTGCACGGGACTCCTTGGTTATGGTATTCAATGGCTTCTCATTCAAAAACTCATCGTTTTGCCTTATTTTCTGGTTAGTCTTCTATCTCCTTTAAATTTCATGAATGAATCTTTACTACAGTAGTTTCTTTTCTTTTTCTTTCCGGGCATTTGCTCCTATTCCTTATATTTGCTTTTCGCTTCTGAAAGTGCTTCTGTTTCCTTGGTTTTCTTTTTCCTTCGAGTAAATACGTTTGTTTTAGACTATTTTTGGTTTGCTTAAAAGTAGGTTAAAATTTTTCCTTCCTTTAACCAATTATATTTTGTGACACATTTAGTGGACCTAGAATTACTTTTTTGTAAAGTAAATAAGAAATATAATCTTAATTTATGTATCATCAATTAATTTTTGTTTATTTTGAAAGCTAGAGTCAGGTGCCTAACCTCCAGTAATGTCCTTTTCAAATCATACAACGTCCACTAACATTTGGTGTTGCACAGAGATTACCATTATCTTCAATTATGTCTATGTTTTACATAATAAAAATGTGTTTTAGACCTCCAATGCAATATCTTTGCATATATTAAACAAAAAGCAAATGCATATCCACAATTGAAGTTACAAATAATTGACTATAATAAACAATATTGAATGGCGAAGGCTCTTATTTGAATTTTGAACTCAATCATTCATATCCTTATTACATTTACTACTACAACTGCCTTGCTAATGAGAAATATAAACATCATTCAAAATATATATCTACTTCATGCCATAATCCATTAGGAAAAGAAACAAAAGCTAATACTAAGAAGTGCTTTTTCTTACTTCTATTTGTTGACATGTAATTCTTTGGCAGGTATTTCTACTATGCCTATTGTCAGGGTGTAGCATCTGCTGGTTCAACACAGTATGCTTTGTTTTATGCATCAGAAATTTTCCAACCAACAGGCCACTTGCATTGTCCCTCACTATCAGTTACAATGGTTTAAGTGCTGCTCTTTACACTCTTATAGCCAAAGCAATAAACCCTGAAGATGACACCATTTACCTCCTCTTGAATGCCCTTATTCCTCTCATCACATCCAGTTTAGCACTCATCCCAATCCTCCGCCAACCTCCCTCGCAGCAACTCTCTACTGATACCGCTGCCCGTGATTCCTCCATCTTTTTCATTCTCAACATTCTAGCTGTTATAACTGGTCTATATCTTTTACTACTAAACACACTATCCTCCGATGCATCAACTTCACGTGTTCTCTTTGTGAGGGCTCTATTTCTTTTATTCCTACCCTTGTGTTTACCTACCATTGTCTATGCTAAAAACTGGGCTTGTCGAAGCATCCCCACAAGGTTCCATTTTGACAGCCCAAGCTTCAATTTGGTTGACATCGACAACCTTCAGCTCCATAAAGAGCTCATTGGAAGTGAGCAAAGTAATGCCTTAAATATTGTTGGTTCATATGACTCAACTGAGAAAGAAGAATATTTTGGAAAAGTGGTGGAGAAGGACAGGTTAATATTACTGGGTGAAGAACACCTAGCAAGATTTCTAGTGCGAAAATGGGATTTCTGGCTTTACTATTTAGCATATTTTTGTAGTGGGACAATTGGGCTGGTTTATAGTAATAATTTAGGGCAGATTGCAGAGTCACTTGGATACTATTCCCAGCTAAGTTCTCTCATTACACTCTATTCCACATGTTCATTCTTCGGTCGTTTGCTCTCAGCTGCACCTGATTTCCTACATGGGTACGTAACTACTTAGACAAAATCATATATATTATGTTTATAAGTCTGACTACAAATGAATGAATTCTAATCAACTGCCTTCAGAGTTCACCAAATAAAGAGGAAATAAAATCCTGCAAAAGTTCCAGGCATTTTGCATGGATACTAGAGTTATTCTTGCAGTTGTTCATGAAGGCTCTCATTAGAATATAATCTGCATTGACATTTCAAATTATTCTTAAACAAAGTTTCTTAACAATCCTCACACATTTTCTAAACTGATATTGTTCACAACGACATTAGATTTTACCAAAGGAAAGGAATATCTTGCAGAATTTCCAGGCAATTTGAAGGATATACTCATATATGCCTAGAAAATAGTCCATAGTGTATTGGTTCATCATAGAGGGCATATATATATATATATATATTTTTTTTTTTCTATTTCTGATACCTAGAAAATAGTCCATACTCTATTTGCTCATCATAGAGGCATCATTAGAATTCATGTTCTGTAAGGATTTGAATATTCAAGTTGCTCCTATATATTTTTTGACATACTAAACAACAATCTGAAGCTTGAAAGTCTAACCAATGCAGCAAGGTGGATTTTGCAAGGACAGGTTGGCTAGCAGTCGCAACACTAGCAACACCTATTGCTTTCTTTTTGCTAACTGCATCAGGCAGTGAGGTCATATTGCGCACTTCAACAGGCCTGATAGGGCTAAGCTCTGGATTCATGTTTTCTGCAGCTGTATCAATCACATCAGAGCTCTTTGGACCAAACAGCGCCGGCATCAACCACAACATCCTCATCACCAACATCCCCATTGGATCACTCCTTTATGGCCTTCTTGCAGCTCAAGTCTATGATGACAATGCAGGAAGTTCAATACAGGAAAGCTTGATGCATGAAGCATCAGTGTGCATGGGGAGGCAATGTTATCTGAAGACATTTATATGGTGGGCATGCATTTCCTTGTTAGGCCTTTTTTCCAGTTCTGTACTTTTCCTAAGGACCAGGCCTGCCTATGACCGATTAGAAAGGAATCGCAGTTTTCTTAGCTTGTACACATAACGCCAAATTTGTATAACTTAATTTCAATATCAATAGCAAAAGAAAATGCATTATATTAATTGCATAAACTACAAACCCAACACATATTATCCACCGCATAAACTATTTGCTCGATATCTAAAATAACATAAGAGAATGTGTAATATGGATAGATTAGTTGATAAAGTTAAGATGTATATCTTTCCAATACATCATAATGAAGGAAATTACAAACAAGAGACTAAAACTAGAACCCGACACAATAGAGCGCATCCTCATAACAAGTTATAATACATTATAGAGCGCATCCTCGTCGAAAAGTTAAGATATATATCTTTTCAATACATATAAGTTTACAAACAAGAGACTAACACTAGGACCCGACACAGCAAAGTGCATCCTCGTCAACAGGTTATACTACATTACAGAGTATCTAAACCACAGTTTCAGGACAGTAATATCAAACAAGTAAAAACCCATTAAGCAAGTGATCTCAGTTAATAATGATAGGCGCATCTTCACCTAAAACTATTTTTTGAGTAGTTTAAAAATTCAGATGGCATTTTGCCTCTGACAATTTGAACTCTGAATTTGAGTACCTGAGTGCTGTAATCGAGGAGTTCAAATACACAGGCATCGCCTATCTCTAGCTTATTGTCCATGGCAAAACATTTCCACCTAGCATGAAACCTTTTATGATGAGAAACCATCTGCCATTCATTGCCCTTGAAGATGAGAAAAGTGGGAATTAGCTTCTGGATTTGAGCTGAAACCGTCGAATTTCAACAAATGAAGATTTTGTTACATTAACTGAAATTATACAAAAAAAATAAATAAAAAAATTGGGAGTTAAATTAAGTACCAGATGATAGGAGGGTTTGAGTTTTGATTTGGAAAGAACTACATGGAAGTTGGTTTCCCAGACAATGGCCGAAATTCATCCCCCAGCAACTCCATTGTTGTTGCCTTTGAAAGGGACTCCATCTCCCATTGGGCATTTTCGACTTCTTCCCCTGAATTACTTATCTGAATATTTCAAACGCTTCGCCTCTGCTCATTTACATCATTCTAGGATGTAGGGTTTCAACTGTCGTTTCTCTAAAAAAGAGCTACGAAAAGCAAAGATAACCCTCCGCATAATGGAAAATGTAATGAGTTAGTTGTAATTTGAAGGGTATTTTTGAAATTTTTAAAAAGTTAAGGGGAGTTTGAAAAGACTCAAATCCTTAATATGATATGGTACTTTTTCAAAAGTGGCAAAAGCCCATTTATTTTATTTTATTGGTATGTGGTTTCTTGGATTAACTTGCAACATTTAGGACTTAAAATTAACGGAGTAAATCTTAATAAACACCTTTATAATAATCAAGTAAATCAAATAATACACAAGATCACCCACACTTGACCAGGGCAGTCGCCACTTAATTTCCTTATATAGTTTCATTGGGTAGTTATAAAAGGATGGTGAATCGACTTTTGACTTCTGAGACAATCCGGTCCTTTCATATTACTGGTTTTCATAACAATAATAAAATTAAAATATATAGTTGAGTGATGGGGCTATGATAAATTAATCGTACGTTAAAAATGTATATGATTCCCGCAACGGTGGTTATGTCTGGTGGCCAAACCCAATCGATTCAACTCTTGTTGCTTCACACATTTTATACACCAACCTCCTTTCTTCTTTTCACTTTTCCTTATCAAAGATCTACACCAAATGGTTGGAGAATCAAGAAAATGGATGATCCTAATAGCAACAATATGGATCAAGCATTTACAGGACAAATTTCGATTTCTCATTATATCTTCAAACACTCAAATCGGTTCTTGGGATTTCTCAGCTTCAGCTCAACTATTTGTCAGTCGCCCAGATTTGGAAAGGCTTTTGGTTGGTGCTCTGGTGTCCTACTCCTATTTTCCTTGTGGGGTCTTATGTTCATGGCTACTTTCACGGGACTCCTTGGTATGGTTCAATGGCTTCTCATTCAAAACTCATCGTTTTGCCTTATTTTCTGGTTAGGCTTCTATCTCCTTAAATTTCATGAATGAATCTTTACTACGGTGTTCTTTTCTTTTCTTTCGGCATTTGCTCACTTCCTATATTTGCTTTCGCTTCTGAAAGTGTTCTGCCTTTTCTCTTCGAGTAAATCGTTGTTTTAGACTATTTTGGTTTGCTTTAAAGTAGGTTAAAATTTTCCTTCCTTTAACAATTATTTTGTGACACATTTAGTGGACCTAGAATTACCTTTTGTAAGTAATAAGGAATATAATCTTAATTTATGTATAATTTTTGTTTATTTTGAAAGCTAGAGTCAGGTGCCTAACCTCCAGTAATGTCCTTCAAATCATAAAAGTCCACTAACATTTGGTGTTGCACAGATTACCATTATCTTCAATGTGTCTATGTTTTACATAATAAAAATGGTTAGACCTCCAATGCAATCTTTGCATATTAAACAAAAAGCAATGCATATCCACAATTGAAGTTACAAATAGTACTATAATAAACAATATTGAATGGGAAGGCTCTTTGAATGTGACTCAATCATTATATCCTTCATTTACTACTACAACGCCTGCTATGAGAAATATAACATCATTCAAAATATATCTACTTCATGCCATAATCCATTAGGAAAAGAACAAAAGCTTACTAAGAAGTGCTTTTTTTTATTCTTTGTTGACATGTAATTCTGGCAGGTATTTCACTATGCCTATTGTCAGGGTGTAGCATCTGCTGGTTCAACACAAGTATGCTTTGTTTATGCATCAGAAATTTTCCAACCAACAGGCCTGCATGTCCCTCTATCAGTTACAATGGTTTAAGTGCTGCTCTTTACACTCTTATAGCCAAAGCAATAAACCCTGAAGATGACACCATACCTCCTCTTGAATCATCTCTCACACACAGTTTAGCACTCATCCCAATCTCGCCAATCCTCGCAGCAACTCTCTACTGATACGTGCCCGTGATTCCTCCATCTTTTTCATTCTCAACATTCTAGCTGTTATAACTGGTCTATATCTTTTACTACTAAACACTATCCTCGATGCATCAACTTCACGTGTTCTCTTTGTGAGGGCTCTATTTCTTTTATCCCTGTGTTTACCTACCATTGTCTATGCTAAAAATGGGCGTGTCGAAGCACCCCCGCAAGGTTCCATTTGATAATACCAATTACAAGTAACGTTGTTACAACTTACAAGGCTGTGGATTCCCTCTAAGCAATCCCTAATTCCTTAATTGATTTTTTTTTTTTATTCTATTCAAAATAGGCAAAAGTAGAAGACCTTCCCCTCTATTACTAGATTAGTTACGTGGGCACGTAACACCCTTCTCTTAAAGGGGAGATCAACTATCAACTTAAATTGACAGATTTTGAAGAAAACAACCAATATCAATATTTTCCAATATTTTGGAAACTGGACCGGCCAGTCGAATTGGTGACTGATGCCCTTTCCGGTCTGATTTACTATTTTCAACTATTCACAAAATCCTTAATTTGACCATTAACGAATGAGGGGCTATCAAGTGTCAGAGTTAGAGGGGTTTGTAGAGTAGACTCAATTGAGGCTTGTGGTTCAAGGGGTGGTGTTGGATTGAATTTTGGATGCCGAAATTTGGCCAAAAAATCAACCTAATACACAAGTCACGGGCACGGCTAGCGAACGAGAGATTACCAAGTGTTTGGGTTAAAGGGGTTTTTAAGAGTGGAGGCCGGTGGTTTAGATGGTGGTGTTGAATTGGATTTTGGCTGTCAAAATCAGTCGGAATGTGGCAAGAAAAATCAAAACCTAAACTGTCATAGGAGTGTGTTTGCAAGATTTCAAACCTCTACGGACTGATATTTTTTAGGGGTATTTTTGCAAGATTTTAAACTTTTTGGATCACAGGCAGGCCACCGGTTTAATCGATTGGATTGGTCAACACGGGACCTGGCGCCTTGGCCGGGTGGCAGCCCAAGTCAGGTTTTAGAACATTGATATTTTCTACAATACAGTCTATTGCTCTTTGAAGTATGACTAGTTCGCGAAAATTAATTTTTCTTTATAATTTCAATTTTATTTCTCTTTATTCATTGTTCTACACTCTAACAACACATGTAGTAAAAGAATATAATAATAAAATTATAACGGAAATGAAATAGTTTAAAATGTTGTAATTTCATGAATGTAGTCTATTATAGAATTGAGGTAAATGAGAAAAGTAAAGTTGAAGGGGCTAAAAGTAATTCATTTAAATTTAAAGAGATTGAAATTAATAAAAAGGAGTATATGGACTATAATGTAATTTTGGGTTTTTGTAACCACGCTGGAGTTTTAAAAGATTTCACCCCCTATTTGTTTAATTTTTCAAACTGTATTATATTTTACTATCCTATCTTAAAAAATGAAAAACATGTTTGTTTTAATATTGATTATTCAATTCAAAATCTAATCTTATTCTACTCAACTCAAAACATTTAACAATTACCTTTCACAATAAAAGCTTATAAATTAACAAAAATACCCCCACTAACCCAAGCCATAATCGCTTGCCAGCAAGCAACCATTGTTGGCCGCCAAATTCTGGCAGTAGAATTGGTTGTTTCCTGCTAAATACATTGTTCATATGGTCGAAAAATGCCAGATTGGTACACGATCAACTAGATCTAGCCGGTTGTGCGCCATTCTGACAACTGCTGGCCACTGTCCAACAGTGGTGGCCGGCTGCCAGTAGTCGGTTAGGTGGGTGAATGTGTTTTTGTTATTTTATAAACTTTTATTATATGGGGGTGTTTAGCTAAATTAACAAATGTGGAGGGTTAAATTAATCTAAATATTTTCAGAAAATGTTTTCCAAAAATATACCAAACACATTCTCGGAATTCTATCTTATCTATTTAGAATATAATATTATTTTAAATAATGTACCAAACAACCCCGAGTCTATTATACATAAACCAATCTTATGTTTCTTAAAATTGTTCAAAAACCACCCTTACAGCTAACTCTGCAATATTTTTTGTTAGTGATATGCTTGTAATTCCTAATTTACCCTTGTTAAACTCATGTGTTAAA